TAAGGAATTCAAATACATAATTTATTATTACTTTTATTTTATTTGTGTTTTTAGGAATGTATTTTAAGAGAAATACTATTTGTTTTACTTATTTACTTTTTATTTTTTATGTTTTTTTTCAATGATACGTTCTTTACTTTTATTTTTATTTTTGTTGGCACATTACAATTTAGATTAGAGGCAATCCAGGATCATGGCATATTTAAGACCCAATTAAATTTACAAAGAAATTTACAAATTGCCTACAAAAAGTATCAGTAATAGAATTCGAACTTGACCTTTCAAGCACAAATATATAACATAATTTCAAAAATTAAAGCTATGATTCCCATATCAAGTTAGAACATAACTTTTACTCACAAATTCGAAAGCCTGCCAAGTGTTCATGCGAAACACACACACATAAAAAATATAATAATAATAATAATAATAATAATAATAATAATAATAATAATAATAATAATAATAAAATATTACACTAAAAAGGAAGAAAAACATGGAAAAGATATAATCTAAACTATTTTTACTTGAACTAGAAAGTATATCTAATTAGAGACAGTAGAATTTTATCTTAAAGAACGAATTTATAATATTTAGGGGATAAATTTATAAAATGTGAAAAATTAAAATAAATTATCAATAAAAAATATAAAAATATTTAAATTATATATAAATTTAATTTTTTGTAAAAGAATCCTAATGTTAAAAAATGAGTACAGGAAAAGAATATTCCATAATTTAAAATCAATTTTATATTAATTTAATATCAAATTACAACTTAGTTAACTAAACAAAAAATAAAAAATCTGAACGATTTGACTTCTGTTCCAAATTTATAACATGGATGAAGGATATCAATACCCAATTGGCTTTTCAAATTTTGCAATATTCATAATTTATTTAGCTTTGAACAATATCATTATTTATTCTTAAAACTACAAATATTATATTATGTGTTGTTAAGAGCCCATAACAAAAAAAAACTATAAAATTATAGTTTAATGGGATTCAGGCGGAATATAAATTGACCCGACCCTTACACTGAACCCGGATGGAAAACAGATGCCTTAAACCCTACCCGACCTCTGTAAACCCTCATCCAACTTCAAGTTTCTAATCTAGAATTGCAGGCAAAAAAGGGGAGACAGGCGTCTTCAACTCGTTTAATTCCAAAATCCAATTTTATTTTCCTGCAAAATTTTCTTAGAATATGTATTCGAGACATCGTCATATCAGAAAATTTTCAAGTTTTTTGTCCCAATTTGCCTCTGGTCTTTTATAGTTTGCCCTTTCCTGGAATCATTTTTTTCCTAATCAATTATGTGTTGTTTAACTTTATTTCTCTTTCTCAAATTCAAGTTATCATTATCGACCTTATAGACTATCACTCAACTCAGTAGCTTCCTCATCGAGTCATTTATTTCAGCATTATAATGAAATTAACGCTATATTTTTCGAGAGGTTTTCGGGTAACCCCTATAGTAAAATATTAGAATTTAAAAGCTCATAATTTATGTTCTTGTTGTAACGTAAGTTGCAACATTTGGGTGACCTTCACTCTCCTAATTTATCAAATACTATCTCTTTCAGGCACTCAACAATCTACCTGGCAACAAATTGAATTGCTGAATATGATCAGTTTGTCCAACAGAAATTCCCGCAGCAGTGTAAATCAATGAAGAAAAGATAAAAAAATCACTGGAATTCACTTAAATTGCCACAAAGAAAAACAATACTGTCATTATGCAAGGTTTGCAAGACATTAATGACTTGACATGAATCCATCTATGTAGAGAGAAAAAACACTGAAAGAATTTAAAAATGGAAGGGGGTTGAGAGAAAAACAAAGAAACTCAGGAAGAACATATCTAGGAAACAAAAATACTCGGAGCATAAAATCTTTCCAGAGGGAAGGACAACCAATAAGGTAGACCGAGCATCCCGAGGTTAGAAAACTTGAAATTTGAACTAATTATAGATTCTTTTTTTTAGTTTCAGAACTCCCTGACCTACTTGAAATATACATTGAGAAATGAGTAATCCTTGAAAGTTTCACTATGCATCCGGTTAAAGAGGCAAAACATAAAACATGCACAAAAATCGAGTACCAGTATTACACATGATTATGTGATTTTCAAAAGTTGTAACACATGATATAAGATCAGCATATGGGATCTCCTTTCGTGATAAGTTGGCATCACTTTGTTGTTGCAACATATAATCTGGCATCGTTTTCAGGAGTTATACTTTCTCTGAGATAAAGTGTCTGCAGAACTCCAAAGTATTTGGAAGTCCTTCGTAGAAATGAGATAAGAAATATTAGACGGACTCAGCAGATTAAAATACAAACAATGAACATATAGAAAAATAACTTTGAACCTTTAACAGCTTCTTTAATCGCTCCTGATGCAAAATCCATAACCCATAAATTCTCAAAGCTGCATACCCCATTAAGTAGAATCATAAGCATCACTTATGTGGTCTAATGATTGAAGACATTGGCAACAACAATAAAAACATGGATTTCTAGAGCACTGTTAGCATTGCTATCTATGGCACAAAAAGACAACTTTGAAGTTAAAAACAACAAATAAGCAACCAACAAAATTCAAAAAATGAATAAACAAATAAAAAGAAAATAATGTGAAGAATAGGTTTAACAACCATGGAGCTTTAAGGAGTGTAATAAGAATTCTACGGAAAAAGTGTCTAAGTGTTGGTGAGAGAAGTACAGTAAGAAGATTTACCTTCGACTGACAATTAAAAAATTATTATCCCCTGACTTTATCAGATGCCAAGGACACATTAGGGCTCGAAAATCATGCTCTTCAAATTTCACATCAGCATCACTGGCAAAACCTAGCTTGGTCCTGATCCAGTTCCAGAAACTAATGCTTCTCTTGTTGCTAGATGTTGGATAGATTGTTTCCAAAACCCTGCTTTCCAAATCAGTTCTCTTGATGGCATGATTCTTTAACAGATGTGACCAAATCAATAATATTAATTAAAACCTAATTAAAATTCCACTGGCGTATCACAGTACATTATATACATTAGACCAGAAAAAAGGCAAGTAAAAATATTCTGAGTGACTTATAGGATATAATTGCATAGAATTCATCTCAATTTTTCATTTTATAAAGGAAGCCTAATGTTGAGATCCTAAGATGCACATTATATACATAAAAAGAATTGTCATAAGCATTAAATTTTCATTTTGTTTCTTTCCAAAATCATAACCAATCTTGTAGCACAAAGATTTTTAAACCCTGAGACCTTACTTAGTGCCTTAAATATAAGTTGCAATATGAAATCATGTAAAGACTCTAAGACCATACCTCAGAATCTACAATATAAAGACAATCTTCGCTATCATGATAAAAGGAAGCAGCAGGGCGAAGCAACTTTGCAGACTCGAATTCACCATCCTCAAAACCTGGGCAAGAACCAATCTGACATATAAAAAAGTTAAGTTGGAATCTAAACTGTTTTATCCCTTATTTCAGCTTATATATAAAGGGAAATACCAAACAAACAATAACAAGGATATAAAAGCAATCTTTGAACCCAAAATTTTACATCCCTAGGCAGAAATTATTACTAGCACAAAGAGCACAAAACTTATGCGGCATTCATTGAAGACTATTCAACCGTTATAATAGATCTAGCAATATGCTAAAATGATGTCTTCCTAACTTATTTCGGATCATCTAAGTAGCCTAAAAGGAGGAAAGATTTAGTTTGATTTTTTTTTCTTTCAAAAGAAAACCTTTTCATTTTTGTATTTTGCTAAATTAATTAGTTTGAGAAGTACCTAATTTTTCTTCTTTCTATTTACTCGTTCTAGTATATACTAAATTTATCAATCAAAATACTGCATAGTCGAGGATAATCACCATCCAAAGATAGATCTTAAAACAACCTCTGCAATGTATGAGTTTATGTGCTTATACAGTCTAAAATCTTCCCATTGCCATAAAATATAATTATCCGATGATGATTGCTATCAGAAAAGAACAAACGCTTCCCACTTTCTTCTATTGAGATACATGTTATTCAAGAAAAAAGAGTGCTTTGAGAATATTGCATTTTTCATTTGTCCATCTTACATATTTGCTGAAGCTTATGTACTATAAGACGAAATAATGCCATAAGAGACCTATACCAGGAAAGTAAAGAAGTAAATTTCGCAAAATAGTGCAAAACTGGGGTTCCTTAATGATCTCAGTTTCTTTTGACCACGAACTTTGCAAATTATGAACTGTGGTATTCTTAACTTGACATTGCTCAAAAGTTACAAAAGGAAGCAAAACCAGAAGACAAGAAAGTTAGATGTAAGTGTACAAGCATGCATGGAGAATTGTTTACCCATATGTGTACATGTGAATGTCGGGAAAATGCATAACCACAGGTAGAAACGTAATCCACAAACCATATTCATAACAAGATAATTCCTTTAAGAAGAGATCCAACTCAAAGAGATGGGGAAGGTTGTAAAAGCCATAAAGAAGAAATGTATCGATATGGTAATAATCATGTTGAAAGGAAGAGCATGTCAAAGTGTAGGAGCTTAGGGAATACAAACAGTTATATAGGAGGAAGGAAAAAGGAGGGTAGAGAAGAATTTAGGATAATGCTTTTATAGGTCCGCCATCTCATTTTGGGCTTTATAAATTATTCCCCAAATGATTGTTTTAGCATGCAAATGAAGGTCAAAGATCAAATGAAGAAGCCTACATTCTTAAGTTAACCCTTAAATATTTGTTTTTGAATGTGCAAATTAAAAAGCACAAAGTTCACCAATCATACTAAGAATTTTGGAGTCTAAATGTCATAAAATTTATATGAGAAAATAAATGTTTTGGTTCAAAAATGTAATAGAAAGAAAGTGCATCAATCAATTCATTCCTTATAAAAGATTCTTAATGTAAAAAAAATTACATCAAAGTGAATAAATTAGTTATTAAACATAAGTAAGAAATATACATTTGCTAAGCATTGCTATATCCAAGTCTTTCTCAGGGAAAACTAGAGGATTCTTTTTGATAGAAGTTGGAGGTCTCATTAAAAACTCCCTACGTATTCGTTCACATACTAAGAAGTATGTTAACGAATATTGGAAGGAAGAAAAGAGTACCTCATAGTTTATTAATAATAATACCCAATACATAAGACAACACGAAATATCCTCCTATGGTGATATACACCATTACAACAAACACCTTAAACTCACACATCCTCATCCAAAAGCAACAATCGACAATCACCTTATTTCTAAGTTACACCTCCAGCAATAGGATAAAAAACAACGCAAAAGAACATAATACAAAAGAAAAGAAACACATGCAACCATTTAAACTAAATCAAAGCCACACTTGAAGTGACGAGATCTAATGAGATTCGTCTTCGTCAGGGGCCCAAGAGTTTGGATTGAATGAAGGCTCAATATTATGCACCATGATTTTGAAAGAGTTGTCACCGACCTTCAATTCCAACGTTGCATCAATTCTCACATCAGCCTTTGTGAAGACTTGAATTTTTACCCGATCAAAAGATGATGGTAACTGACATCTTTCGTCGATTGCTAATAAATAACCCCACTCATCTGCAATGTTTTTGAAAGTATCCCAACTCCATGCATGAAAAGGAACATCCTCGCAAACTAACCATACTCGACGAAACTCCACTACCAAACTCTCTGACCAAGCTTCGACTCTGGAGAACCACTTTGTGAGTCTCTAATTTATCGTTCTTCACACTTCTCAATGAAGCAGAATCTTCGAAAATCATTAATACCGCATTTCCAGCAGCTCTCATTAAGGAGAAACCAGTGAGGCCCTTCGCTTGCATTTGTCTAGCGAGATGATCGACTTTGATAAAGTCATTGCACCACCCTACTAGACATTTACTCAACAGTTGAAGTTTTTCTTCGTCCAAAACACCTTCAACTTCACAATGATTCTTTCTTGAATCACCTTCCATCCCAGAATTACGGTGAACATATGTAGTGGTCTTTCTCCAAAAAGACTGGCGAGGTTTGAATTTAGCCAAAGATACACTAACTTTGCTCTCGTCAATATGAGATCCATCCATTTCTGATATTGCTTTCCCTGCTTCTTCGATTGTTGCAAAACGAATGAAACCAAAGCGAAGCCCTTTCTAATTTCTTTTGTTTGGAATGAAAGTGTCAATAACCCGACCGTGGGTGCAAAATAATGATCCAAACCTCTTCCAATGGATCTTCTCTAGTAGATTTTCGATAAATAACATGAAGCAACCGCTTCTATACCCGTTACTTATTTTTGGATGGCCTTCCTTCCACCAATTATTAAGCCCAATTTTCCCACTTCTTGAAACTTCACCAGACTTTTCATCACAACTCCCCTTTTTGGGTAACTCCTTGATTCCATCATGGACAACCACTGCCGCATTTTAAGCTGATGATGTATCCTTATTTGCTGACGATGCCTGTAAATGGGATCTCTTTAACTTGTCCTTAATCAATCTCGACTTCACCCGAACACCTCTTAAACCATCACCGTGATAATTCCCTGCTCTACAATCAATTGTTGCTTTTTTCCTCCTACTGTTGCTCAAAGATTCGTTCAATGGCTGCTACCGATTAATACAAGAACCATCATTGACCCTTTTCTTCGCAACATGTGGATCCTTACATTCACCATAGGTAACCGACGCATCCTAAGCATTCTTTTGGATACAATCAGCGCAAGTTTTATTTCCCGACTGTGTTTGTAGAACCCTTAGTCACCTCGTAGCTACCCTCTTTGAACCAGAAAACTCGAACATAGCCATTAACCATAATCTGGGCTCTCCATTGGTTAATCCCAAAGGTGAGAAGGCATATAATATCCCCGGGAGCAACCTACTTCGGAATCGGGACGATCCAATGGCTACAGGAGGAGATCAGAACATTCCAAGTTGATGCGATTTCCGTCGTTTTTGTGAAGATGGGGGATTTTCTTCAGAATCCAAACTCAGTTATGGATTCCCGGTGTAAGAGCGAATTTATCAAGGTAAATTGTGTCTCAGAATCACCTTTGATGGTGGCTACTGCGGTGGGCCTTGATTGAGATATGCTTTGAAGTAGGTTGTCGCATGAAACGAAGACTAAATCCTTGTTGCTAACGTCGAGGCGAGCAGACTATGAAGTTTCGATGGTCGACGGCCACCAGTGATGGCAGCCGGCGTGGCGTCTGACGACGTTGATGAAGTTTTGAACGGCCACCGAACCTCCCAGCTTAGTGAAAAGGGAGAGGGAGTCGGTGTAGGAAGAGACTAAACGCCAAAGTTAGGTCGCCTAAAATCAAGAGAGAAGCTGGAGCTTCTCTCACAAACGTTTTGACTTTTTCAGTTGTATACTTTTGATTTTACTCCAAACTATACTTTAGACAAAATGAAGCAAGCCTCGTCTGTCAACTAAGTACATAAAGAGAAAAAAAAAATCAATCTACTTGAAAAATGTATAATATCAAGAAATATAACAGAACAGATTCTTTAGAAGAAATTAGTCAACCATGGTAAACAGATTCTAATTTATAAACCATGTTAAAAATCATAGAGGCAATACATGGCCATGTGATACAACTTTAAAAATTCATGACATAGCTTTGGAGAAATTCATCGCAAAAAATCCATGCTTAAACTCTGTTCTAGTTCCAAGATGCTCTGAGTTGTCTATGCTTTGACACATTTCCCTTTTTCCCTCTATTTCAATTGTTTTTTAATAAAATAATCATTTTTATACTAAGGTATAAATACATAAAAGGAGTTGACAGAAAATGGTATTCTTTAAGATAAGATTAGTATATGTTGAATGCCAACAGAATACGGAAGAACAACTCACTGGTTCCTTCTAAGAAGCTGAGGGAATCATACTTGATGGCATAACTTAATTGTGAGAGTATGTTTTGAAGTAAAATGCAACTCTCACTAGTTTATGGCAAAGATTTCATTCTTGGGTATGTATGGCTTTGCATCCATGTAACCTTACATAGCTCCATTTCAAAGTTGTACCTTAGAAAAGTTTTTGTTTGTTAACAAAATAAGAAAAGTAATGTATTCTTCCATTATCAATTGAATAAGCTGACTTTGATCATCGACAGAGCAAACTGAAATGCGATCCTAAAAACCAATAACTTCTATTGAAGGGAACCTATAACAGCAAAACATTAACCTTTTTCCTTAAACAGAAAATCTAGCGTTAATTTCATTACAATGCTAAAACAAATGACTCGATGAGGAAGCTAGAGTGATCGTCTATAAGGGTCGGGTCAATTTATATTCTGCCTGAATCCCATTGAACTATAGCTTTATAGCTTTTATTTGTTATGTGTTCTTAACAACACATAATATAATATTTGTAGTTTTAAGAATAAATAATGATATTGTTCAAAGCTAAATAAATTATGAATATTGCAAAATTTGAAAAGCAGTTACTGTTGATACCCTTCATCCATGTTTTAAATTTTGAACGGAAGTTAAATCGTTCAGATTTTTAATTTTTTGTTTAGTTAACTAAGTTGTAATTTGATATTAAATTAATATAAAAATGATTTTAAATTGTTGAATATTCTTTTCCTAGACTCTTTTTTTAACAATAGGATTCTTTTAAAAAAATTAAATTTATATATAATTTAATTATTTTTATATTTTTTATTGATAATTTATTTTTATTCCTAACATTTTATAAATTTATTCCCTAAATATTATAAATTTGTTCTTTAGGATAAAATCCTACTGTCACTATTGGATATACTTTCTAGTTCAAGTGGGAAATAGTTTAGATTATATCTTTTGCATGTTTTTCTTTCTTTTTAGTGTGATATTTTATTATTATTATTATTATTAGTAGTAGTAGTATTATTATTATCTGTGTGTGTTTCGCATGAACACTTGACAAACTTTCGAATTTGTGAGTAAAAGTTATGTTCTAACTTGATATGAGAAGCATAACATTAATTTTTGAAATTAGGTCAAGTTCGAATTATATTACTGTCACTTTTTGTAGGCAATATGTAAATTCTTTTGTAAATCCAATTGGGTCTTAAATATGCCATAACCCTGGATTGAGAGAACCACATCTAATCTAAACTGTAATGTACCAACAAAAATAAAAGTAAAGAATTTATCATTGAAAAAAAACATACAAGAAATGCAAAGTAAATAAGTAAACAAATAGTATCTCTCTCAAAATACATTCCTAAAAAAGCAAATAAAATAAAAGTAATAATAAATTATGTATTTAGTCACTCAACTTTCACTTTAGTTTCGTTTTGGTGATTCAATTATTTTTTTTAAAATCATGTCTAACTTTATGTTTTGGTTCCATTTTGGTCACTCGCCATTAAAAAAATAAATAAAACTACTGACGTGATAATTTTTTTAAATTATGAAATAGAATTACCTTATGGTAACATGTCAGAATTACTGTTGATTTTTTAAACGAATGGTGACCAAAACGTAAAATTAGTTACGATTTTGAAAAAAAAATAATCGAGTGATCAAAATGGAAACAAAGTGTTAGTTGAGTGATTAAATACGTAATTTAATCACGACTATGACAACAAGGTAACAAACCCTTGTCGGAGAAGACTTGAAGTATATGAATGGCGGAATTGAACAGTTGTCACAAAGATATATAAACCAAATTAACATCTACCCTTCCCATACGCCAAGTACGTCGCTATCATCTTCAACAAGTATACATGGTTTGGTGTCTTCTACAAAGGACACTGGTTTTACCTATTGGAAATAGGGTTGGACCGCTTGGAACTTCGTGCGCTTCAGCTCCAAACTATCTACGTGAAGAAGAAGTGTGAGTTTTGGTGATTGGTTGATGCTGATGGTAGAAGAAGTTTATTTTGAGGAAGCATCTAAGAGGGGCCGCCTGGTGTTGACTGATGGGTTTATGGTAGGGTTGAGGATAAGAAGAAATATAAAGAGAAGAGTATCAACACCCAATTGGCTTTTCAAGTCTATAATTGCAGGCAAAAAAAGGGAGACAGGCGTCTTCAACTCGTTTAATTCCAAAATCCGATTTTATTTTTCTGCAAAATTTTCTTAGAACGTCTTCAAGACATCGCCATATCAGAAAATTTTCAAGTTTTTTGTCCAATTTTTCCTCAGGTCTTTTATAGTTTTCCCTTTCCTATAATCATTTTTCCCCTAATCAATTATGTGTTGGTTAACTTTTTTTCTCTCTTTCAAATTCAAGTTATCATTATCGACCTTATAGACGATCACTCAACTTAGTAGCTTCCTCGTCGAGTCATTTGTTTCAACATTACAATGAAATTAGCACTAGATTTTCCGAGAGGTTTTTGAGTAACCTCTATAGAAAAATATTAGAATTGAAAAGCTCATAATTTATGTTCTTGTTGTAACGTAAGTTACAACATTTGGGTGACTTTCACTCCTAATTTACCAAATACAATCTCTTTCAGGCACTCAACAATCTCACAACAATCTCGTTTCTCTCATTCTAAAACCCATTTATTGGCTTTCAACAAATCTGCTTTTGATCAGCTCCAAGGTATTCGAATCTACTAGCTTTTTTTCTGGTACTTTGAATAGATGATAATTAACTAATATAACGTATTCTATTTAGGTCCTAATCATTTCTGGTTGAATAAAGATTATGGAAACGAAGAATTTTTAAAGAAGGGTGGTACGATTTTAGTTGTTATTGGAAGGTTCTTTGAGAATTCAGAGAAAGTTGGACGCCATCCGAATGTTATACTTGAAAAAGTGAAGTTGTTTCAGCAGAGGTAGAGAGATAGTGGATATTTGTTTCTCTTAGCTTCTTGAATACTGTGTTTTTTCCTTTTGAGGAAAAAGGTTAATGTTTTGTTTTTATAGGTTCCCTTCAGTAGAGATTATTAGTTTCCAGGATTGCATTTCCGTTTGCTCCGTCAATGATCAAAGTCAACTTATTCAATTGATAATGGAAGAATAAATTACTTTTCCTGTTTTGTTGACAAACAAAAACTTTTCTAAGGTACAATTTTAAAATGGAGCTATGTAAGGCTACATGGTTGCAAAGCCATACATACCCACGAATGAAACCTTTGTCATAAACTAGTGAGAGTTGCATTTACTTCAAAACATACTCTCACAATTAAGTTATGCACAGGGATTTAAATAGCGTTTGCAGTCGCGTTTATCGCGGTTGCGGACATAACGAATGTCATCGTGGTCATTACAGGTGTTGCAATCGTGAATTTTTTAAATTTCGCACAATTAAACCCTAAAACATAATAATTATAATATTAAGGAGTGACCAAAATAGTAGCAATATGAAAGTTTAATGAGTAAATTGAAAAAAATTAAAGTTCAGTGAGTAAAATATGAGAGAGTAGAAAGTTAAGTGGTGATTTATGTAGTTTACCCTAATTAGAAGAAACCAGTGAGATGTTCTTCGGCATTCAACATAGACCAATCTTATCCTATAGAATACAATTTTCTGCCAACATTTTTTATCTATTTATACCTTAGTATAAAAATAATTATTTTATTAAAAAGCAATTGAAATTGAGGGAAAAAAGGAAAGGTGTCAAAGCATTAACAACTCAAAACAACTTGGAACTAGGACAAAGTTTAAGCATGGATTTTTTGCGATGAATTTCTCCAAAGCTATGACATAAATTTTTAAAGCTGTATCACATGGCCATGTATTGCCTCTATGATTTTTAACATGGTTTACAAATTAGAATTTGTTTACCATGGTTGACTAATTTCTTCTCAAGGATCTGTTCTGTTATATTTCTTTCCATTATACATTTTTCAAGTATATTGATTATTTTTTCATTTTTTTCTCTTTATGTACTTAGTTGAAAGACGAGGCTTGCTTCATTTTGTCTAAAGATTTTAAAAATCCTCTAGTTTTCCCTGAGAAAGACCTGGATATAGCAATGCTTAACAAAGGTATATTTCTTACTTATGTGTAACAACTAATTTATTCACTTTGATGTAGTTGTTTTTACATTAAGAATCTTTCATAAGGAATGAATTGATTTTGCGCTCTCTTTCTATTACATTTTTGAACAACTAAAATATTTATTTTTTCATACAAAATTTATGGCCTTTAGACTCCAAAATTCTTAGTATGATTGGTGAACTTTGAGCTTCTTAATTTGCACATTCAAAAACAATCATTTAAGGGTTAACTTATGAATGTAGGCTTCTTCATTTGCATGCTAAAACAATCATTTGAGGAATAATTTATAAAGCCCGAAAATGAGATGGTGGACCTATTGTCGTAACCGGTTTTCGTCCGGGCACGAAATATTTGTTTTTGGCGGGGAAATTAATGTTAATAAATAATTTTGAAAATAATTTGAGAGTCGCCATCGGCCTTTTGGGTCAGGTAGGTCGAATACCTAAAAATTATCTTTTAAAATTTTTTTTTTAAGAAAACATTATTTAAAAGATGCACTGATCTGCGTTTTATAACCAAAAATTCGTTCTTTTTAATAATAAAAAGG